GCTGGTGCAGTGATGGGAAGGTTTTTGTCGGGCGCCGGAGGAACTTTCTGAGGCCGGCCACAGCTGGTGAGCTCCTCCATGAGGCCTACCAGCCCTCGGTTGCAGCTGCCGCTCGCTGCACACACAAGTGCGTTAAAGTCATTGGAAAAACTCTGAGGAAATAGACAAAGTGTATGAAGATATCGTTATGACAGAAAACGTAAAATTTACATTGTAGATTAGTTGGAGGGAAAAATTTTTAAAGGCGGAAAATGAGTTAAAATAAACAGGAAATGGTGTGGGTTGCTAAAGAATTTAAGAAATTTAAAATTGAAATACTGGAAGCAAGCTTTTAAAAAATTTAGATTAAACAACTAGTAATAGGGAAATATCTAATTTAAATGATACTGTACGACTAGTTAATTGCTGACCTCTAGCAAATGAAGGTATGAATAGGGATCCCTTATAAGTTCTTATTCTGTCGAAAGAGGACATTTATTAGTAAATTACCTCAGACTGTATTTATACTGGGCTAAATTTTAAAACACCACTGGAAAATTCCGATAAAATTTATATATGAATTTCAATCAGATACAAACCGAAAAATGACAGTAAGATAATCTGAGGTCAAACGCGGAAAAGGTGCGGATTCAAATAAGCAGCTGGAAACAAAAAAAAAATCGCCTTTTGTAAGTTTTAGGATCGAAATTTGAGTAAAATCGTCGTTTCCAACGCGATACAAGGGTTACAGTTTAGATCAAAACAGAAAATGAACAGCGTCACAAACAAGAGCTTCATTTATTAAGTTACTTTCAGATTGTGAAGCTCGTGAATAGAAACTCAAATCGACAATAACAGTAGAAAGTTTAAATTAGATTACTGAGCACGCGGTCCGTGGTGATCTTGATTATTTTTGTTATTGAGATCATGAAAATAAAGAATTTCGAGAATATTACGAAAATGCGCTTGCTACCGTTAAGGTTTTATAAAAATCATACCATCATAGAGAATATTTTATGATTTTACGATAGAAATATTTCTACCGCAATTCCCTGGTGATTTTATATAAAAAAAATCATTGGTTGAAACAACGAAATTCTTCATGATGTAATTCCGCTAATGGGTTCATGGATCTGCCTCTCGATGAAGTTTCTGATAAATACTACGACAGACGTCACTTATAATAATGATATTATAATAATAATAATAGCGGTTTCAGCGTTATTAGGCCGTAGGCCTGTCGCCGATTCTTAACATCGCAGAACATTCACAGCATTTTGCGGTCTCGAACTCGCAACGCACTGCTACAATTTTACTGTGCTTAACCGCCCGGCCTCCTTGCCGATTCTGACCAGAAACTGGCGCACAGAGCTGGGATCGAACCCGCGCCTCTCTGCGACAATCTTGGTATTCTGAACTTTAACCACTGGGCCACCCTGCCCAGTTTACTTTCATGTAGTAAATCGTTTTCATTTGACACCCGAAATATTTGCTATTGTTACTGATGTAAATGGTTCATTAACTTAGCATTAAATATCGTTGAAGTGAAGAATTGTTCGAACAGCAGAGCTTAGCAGCATCAATGCGTGGCAGAGCTGGTATCGTACTGGTGAAAAATTAGGAGGCGATCATGAATTGAGCGTCAAAGGCAAGTATCAACAATCGAGATAAAACAGACTATTTTGCAAGAATTTAACTGTGTTACCGAATTTTTTTTAAGCATGCAGCAAGCGTCAGCCTTTTAGCAGGCAAATTCGAGTTCTTAATTAGTAATAATGTAATGTCCACAAATTTGAGATCAATCACGCATGGAAGCGCTCAAAGAGGCGATCGACCAAAATGATCCTAGTCCTACTTCAAACTCGATATTAAGAAACTACGGTACCTTGGAAATTAAACTTTATACTTTTTTAAATATATTCCTACAACTTTCAAACAATATCAGACTAAAATTAAATTGTTTAAGAATTACTAATCAAAACATAGATTAGTTTTTTTTAGTATTATAATGGAGGAGGAATCACACCACACACGCTGTTTTCAAAAGATTCTTGAAAACGGCGATTCTGGTCCAGTTGAACCTTTCTTGGCTGTGCTATTTGTTATGCCATTGACATCACATGGCACAACTTCTTGCATCACGTTTTGTGCCGCAATATCATAGAAAAAATTATTTATCTGACACAGTTCACTTTTGTAACCAAGGTTTCTAGAAGAAAGCAACTCGGTATCACTTGAAAACAGAAGAATACCAGCACATTTCAGTATTTGTTTTGTTTATTCTTCGATCGTGTTTAAATCGAGCCAATTAATAAGAAAAAGAAAAAAATGGAGAGTAGCGAGAATGAGTAAAACTTCAATGACAGAAAAATATTTATCCAGTTTAAAGTAAAGTCAAGGTAGAGTAAGCAAAGCAAAGCTTCCGATAATAGTAAAATATCATTCTTATTTTAATATCAATAACAGCTACGAATCCTCGTGTAAGAGTGATAACAAAAATATTTGAAACTTGTAATGAACAAGGTTAAAGAAAAATATACAAAAAGCAATTGAGAGCAAACCTCTAAAGAACATTCATCACACAGACCGACCGAGCAATTCAATACAATTAATTGATGTACCTATATAGATTCAATATGTAAAAATAGGAAAACAAATTTCGGAGATTCTTGCGAAACATTATGATTGGTAATTCAACTTCATTTGTAAACAAATCGTTTTTTTTTTCGCTCGAAACTTCAGGCTAATTATCACCAACTCGGGTAGAACAAGAATTTTACACACGCCTTTGAAAAAAAATATATATAGAGGCCAACTCTCATAATTTTTTCGACGAAGAGAGCTGCTCAACTGAGATCTGGTCCTGATTTTTCAACAATAAACATTTAGTTTTATAGATTTATGATAATTTCCTGCCATCGCTTGTAGAAATCGAATTTATGCCGGCAATGATCACTCATTCAATCACTCATTCGTGGGTGAGCAGATTCTGTTCATTTGTACCGCTGCTCGCGAAATTAAAGATATATGTAAATATTAAATAGAAATTAAATTAAATATTAAATAGTACGTAAAATGGCAGAAAATTCGATGTAAAATCAGTTAATTAAATAGCATAGTCAAATTTCAAACTATTTCTAAGCATTCTATGAAACGTGCGATGAATACGTGGCGACACCCCAGCTGCTAAATGCCGGTGTTAGGTGCAACAACACGATCAGTCTTACGCCATGTGAAATAAATATATCAACAGTCAGAAGTCGGCTAACATTTGCAGTGCAACGAGTGGGATCCCCGCCGTAATTCCCATAGCCCTCTTGAAATAGTGAATCGTTTTGCATTGTCGTACAGTGAATTTCTCTGAGTGAGAATAGAGTTTCTAACATTCCATTATTTATAAAAAATCGATTATTCAAAGTGCTGTGCCGATCCGAAAAAATAATTATTATTTATACTAATAATGAGTAAAATGATCTCTGTGTAATTCATATGGAAACGCAACCAAAAGTCAGTTATTTGGATACTGCAAATAACTATTATTTGGATTCTGCAAAATAAAAAAATCATAGGGTGCAAAATGTCCTCCCGAGCTCGTATTGTGCAGCTATAGCGCACAGGATGGTCAGAGCTGAGATGAATTTGATCAGGCTGATAGCTCGAGAGAAGTTGTCGAAAAAACTTCAGAGCTTGAACATAACAGATGAAATAAGCGCTTGATCGTCAAATTATTTCGACTAAAATCTATCCATTAATCGTGGAGAAAATTAGTAATTCGTAAATGAAAGGCTTTAATTTTCGAAGTAAGCAATGTTTAAAAGTTAGTCGCTTTCAATTACATACATTTTATCAGTCAATCTGCTCAAAGAATCTTAATGATTACTTTCGCAGCAGCCATGTAAGAAATACCTCCTTACAAAACAATTCTTACGGATAAATTAAAAGTAGACTCATCGAGAGATATTCTTTATCCTTCTTGTCTCAGAACATGAAGGATGAACATGAACAATTTACTATCTCAGCGGGACCACGCAATCGCTTCAAGTAACGATTGGCCGGGATGTGAAGAGCATTTTGATTATGTGGTTGCATTTATAGGCGTCGGCGTTACAGGGTATATTGCGAAGTAGAAAGCACGTCCTAGAAGATCAATGTCTTCCACGGCCAGCAAAGGAGATCCGTAAAAAACGCACATTTAACTTGCGACAGAGTGCCGCTACTATCAATAATTCACGTCACGTTTAAGGCTAAATTAGTACCAAAAGATCGATATTTGAAGCCAGCTGAGCAACAAAATCCACGAAAAAAGTACAAAAAAATTTAAACAAGCAAGCTTCATGTATATTGAAAATGTTTGAATTTACTGACAGCAAAAGTAAATGCATGAATGGTGACTTGTATTCGAAGTTAATTGGAATATTCGGTGCACGCTTACACAAGTGCAATTTTCAAATCCGTTCCCTGGATTGAAAGTCCGCGGACTGCTTTCACGGAAAAAACAGCACAAACAAGTCTCCATCAGACAACGCTGCTCGAATACCGAACAAACGTGAAAAAGTAAAAAACACGAGAACAAGGCACAGAGCATGTTGCTGATACCGATAAAATTTGCCAATAAACAAATAATGTGAACAAACCAGAGAAAAACGCGAACGTTGGATGTTAACAATTAATAGGATTTCGTTGATAACTCTAATGTCAGATGAATAATTTTATTACAACGCCACATATCGTATTGAAGTAGAACAATAAATTGTTGGGTGCACTCTCCTTGCGCGTTCAACAAATAAAACCTTCAAATGAGTTGCGACGCAATGCGAATATAAAAGCAGACTTTACCTACTCAGGCTCCGAAATCGGAGTTTGCTGTCACTCACATTGAGCAGCGGGACCTTGAACGAGAGTAATTGGCTCTCGATCATGTCGAGTAGGGGAAACGAATCCCTCGTAAATCCTAAAACGAGTGAAGCTCGTTAAAGTTTATCTGTCCACAGAGGAACGATTTGAAAGAAATCTTCGGGAAAAACCTTGCTTCGAAAGGGAAATAACTTTTTTTGTCGAAAAATATTCTGAAGCAAATGTACTTTTAGCATAATGGCACGAGTATTTTAGGATAGCTAACTGAAATGATAATTGTTT